GACAGGGTGTCATGATTTTTGACCAGGCCAACCTCAGAGCATAAACTTCCAACTCTCACTTCCTCCTGGTCTTGCAAATATAAACCACCCACTTGTTCTTTGGGACAGGATCTCATTAACCTTTTGTCACCAGGCTGGTTTTGAATGAGAGCCTATGTCTGCTTCCTACCTAGGAGAGATTACAGACAGAAGCCACCTGGCTGGCCCTGTACTGCTGTTTACTATCCGGTATTTTTTTCTCAACTGATTTCATCTGCTGGAAATTTTCCCTTTACTGAAAAGCTTCCCACTGCTACCTTCCAAAACTGAAGTCAAATCCAATCTCCTCCCAGAAGACTTCTAGGCACATTGCTGTCTTATTCCTCTGTGATTCACTACTAGTACTTACGATTAATCTAGCACATAGTAAAATCTGCCTTAATATTAGAATTGCTGAGCAAATGTTTCATCATTTTTGTATTTACTTCTGAACCTATGATTTACAAAATAGATGTCTAAAATGGTTATTAAAATGAATAAAAGACAATTTCTATGATGCAAATGAATTAGAACTGGGGTTAAATGTTTTATTTTTCTGAACTTAGCATTAAATTATGATAAGCTTTGTTGCAAAAACATTGAACTTATATTGGCTAGCTAGTAATTAAAATAATATATATGTGAAGGAATTTATAGCTGATGAAGTTGAATCACTTTATAAATGGTTAGACTACCTCTGCCATCTTGGGCACGTTTGTCACTAGTAGGACAAGAATCCTTCAGATACATCATATCTGTCTCATAAAGTTGCTGTCAGGATCAAATTTGACCATGAAAATAGTATCAGCTCAAGTTGTTGAGAAAAGTGCTTGTTGTATTCTCATTCAATTTTCAATTCAACATGATAGATACCATTCTCATATTTTTTTTACAATTATATATAATAGCACTGGGTCCCTGTGTTATTTCTTTTCAAAGACATACAGTCTTAAAAGATAAATTAGGTCAGGCAACCATGGCTCATGCCTGTCAGCTGCTCAGGGGGCTAAACTCTGAGAATTGTGATTTGAAGCTAGCCCAGGCAGAAAAGTCAATGAGAACCTCATTTCTAATTCACCACCAAGGGATAGTTAGGCTCAAGGGGTAGAGTGCTAGCCTTGAGCTAAAAAAACTCAGAGAAAATGTCCAGGCCGAGTTTAAGGCTGGGGAGTGGGGGAGAGGAGAGAAGGGAGAAGAGAGAAAGTAGAGAGAGGGGAGAGAGAAGAGAAAGAAGAGAGAGATGGGGAGATAGATTGGAAGATTGGAAGCGAGGCTCTATAGTGTCTCAAGCCTATAATCCTAGATAGGTGGAGGCTGATATTGTTGAGATTCAGGTTTGCGGTAAACTCAAGCAGAAAACTTTGGCGTGGGTCTGTGGTCATAGTTAACTGGAAGCATAACTTCAGTGGATCATGATCAGGATAGGCCCCAGGCAGGAAGCAAAACCCAATCACAAAAATTACCAGCCAAAGTAGGGCTGCAGGTATGGTCAGGAGGTGAACAAGCATGAAGGTCAGTAAGGGAGAAGGCTTTGCCTTCATTTGGAATCAGCTAGTATGGTTTTTGGAGTGAAAACTCTTAGCTAAATTGCTAGATATTAGCTTTCTTTAACTTTTATAAGACTAAATTTGCAAAAGCATTAGCTATTTCAAAATATTAAGATCTAAGATTTCTAAAAGTTTATTTTTAGACTTCCTACAGAAATAATGTAATAAATTTAATCAAAACACTCCATAAAAATTCAAATAGAATTTTACTAAAGGAAAAAAAATGCTGTTGGTAGACAGAACCAGTAGAAATATTAGTGTCTTGCCAATTACCTATCTTCTGTGTAGCAGCTAGATTCTTTAACATATTATATAGTTTTAAAAATCGAATCTTGATGAGTGTTGTTGGCTCATATCTATAAATCCCAGCTACTCATAAGGCAGAGATATGAGAATCTTGCTTCAAAGCCAGGCCAGGCAGGAAAGTCCATGAGACTCTTGTCTCCAATTGACCACCAAATAGCCAGAAGTGGAGCTATGGCTCAAATGGTAGAGCCTTAAGCCAAAAATGCTAAGAGACAGTGCCCAAGGCCTGAGTTCAAGCCCTAGTAGCAGTATTTAAAATAACAACCGCAACCTTAAATAAATCCAATAATGTTTCAACTGGAGAGTTTATAATTGTTTTATGACTCATGGAAAAATCGTAACTTCAGGCTGGGGGTATGGTTCAAGTGGTAGAGTGCTTTTAAGTGCTCTAGTTTATGAAGTGAATCTTGTTAAAGAAAGCCCTAAACTCAAGCCCCAATAATGCCAAAAACTAACTAAATAAGCACTGTATTTTTTAAATCAAAACTTGAAATTTTAAGCCTTATAGTAACACGAGACCTGAAAGATCCTTCCATTTACCTCGCATTTCAGCAAATGCTATCTATCACGTGTTCTTCATTTGCTTTCACCTTTACAGTTCAGCTGGGGTGTACAAAGTGGAGAACAATGCTGCCACCTAGCGGGTAGAACTGAAATGTCCAGTCACAACGAAAATCCTCTCTGGGGCCAGCCCTAGGGGTGAAGAGCACACTGCTTGTGCGTTGAGATCTCACCTCACTGGGCCTGCATTATGGAGGAAGCACTGTGAGTTTGTCAGTGGCAGCAAGTATTGCTCAAACACTGTAGTACCAAACACTGGAGTCCATGCTTAAAAAAATGACAGGATTCTCAACAGCGCCTTCTCTTTACCCATTTGTTCAAATACAAGAGGACTATGTAGATTTTAACCGCTTCACGGTTAAGATGTCCCACGTTCATAGTGGCAATAGAACTAAAACTATGTGAGGAAAATGTGTTAAATGGAAAAAAAAAAGTGACCAAAAGCATCAAAATTGGAGTGGTAAATGAGAAACTCAGCAACTACTTCTAACCTTTTAAAAATACCTATTAGACAATAAAATTGAGTTTGACTATTCATTATAACAGGTACCAAGTATCCTTTTAAATACTGAAATATTCACATTAAAATCATGTTGGGCACTGGAGGCATTCCTACAATCCTAGTTACTCAGGAGGATGAAATCTGAAGATCTCCGTTCAAAGCTAAACTCAGGCAGGGTAGTCTGTGAGGCTTTTTTCCTTTGATGTGGTTACTCAAAAAAAAAAAGTCAGAAGTAGATCTGTGCCACTAATGTAGAGAACCAGCCTTAAAAATAAAGTCTAAGGAACAGTGTCCAGGCCAAGGTATAAAAATATTGTTATTTAACACTGTTTTGGAAGTTCTAACAAAACTAGTAAGACAATATATTAAAATGTTAATGAAGATTGAAAGGTAATTATGTAATATGAGTAAAATGTTTAGAAAATCCCTCCCATTCAGAGAAGCACTTGGAAAAATGATTAGATAATATACTAAACTATTCCCACTTTGTGTTTACATCAACAATAAACATTAGTGTGTATTATTTAGAACTTTACAGAAATGGAAGAGTTACATATTATTCTTGTTTGGATTATCTCAGTGTAATTATTTTAAAATTCATCCTTGAAATTTATCATTCCCCTCTTTTTTGTTGTTGTTGGTTGTGGGGCTTGAACTCTGGGCCTGGGCGCTGTCCCTCAGCTCTTCAGCTCAAGGCTAGCGCTCCACCACTTGAGCCACAGCGTCACTTCCATTTTTCTGGTGGTTTATTGGAGATTAAAGTCTCACAGACTTTCCTGCCAGGGATGGCGTTAAGCTGCAATCCTCAGATCTGAGTAGCTAGGATTACAGGTGTGAGCCACCAGTGCCCGGCTCTCATTCCCCTTTGTATCCTTTTTGTATCTGATTGTTTGTGTATTTATGTATAAAACAGTATATTCCTGTTGTATAGAATTTTAGACTCTGTGTTTTGGTTATTAAAACTGCAGTGGAACTGAAGATGTTGCTCAGGGGTAGAGCGCCAGGCATGATAGCCTAGAAAGAGGATATAGGGTATCAGCACACACACAAAAAAAACTTTCATTTATTTTTGATATTCTCCTTAAATAGTTGTATGAAGGAGTTTTAATCTGACATGTGTTTGTGAATAGAATGCATCTCGATCTATGTCAGAACTTCATAATTTCTCTCATCTCTCCCTAACCCTACACATCCCCTCAAGTTAACTAGTTCCATTTTCACCTAAGTACATGGAATATGATGCTGGCATTTCCCCACCCTTCCTCTCTCCATTTATCTACCTCCCTCCATTTAACTCCATCTCCCTCTCACAACACATGTTCTAGCTTCCTGGTATTTATTTCATTAAACAGGTTTTTCAAAGGAGTTACATCATTGGAATTCTCCCCTGCATGTAACATATTTAATACATTTGTGTATATATGCATATGACCCTCCATACTTTTACATATATGTATTATTTACATATATACTTATATGTATTTACATATGTATTTATACCTTAGATCTAACTTCCACATGAGAGAAAGCATGCCTCCTTTGTCTCTGTGCTTGACTTAGCTCAGTAAACATAATTAAATCAATTTTTAAAACTGCTTTCAATATTCATACACAAGTCTTTATATGGACACATGCTCCATTTCTCTTTTCATTGAGGAGAAATACTGCATCATATGATTCATAGATGCACACTTCCTTGAAAAATGGCCAGAGTATTTCTAAAGTGATTATAACACTTTACATTATCAGTGATATCTGAGTTGTCTCATATGCTAGCTTGCACTTAGTATATAATTAGACTCAATTGTTTTAATTTTTTTGTCAGTCATGGTGCTTCAACTCAGGGGCTGGGCATTGGCCCTGAGCTTTTTCTCCTTAAGCTAGAGCTCTACTGCTTTGAGCCACAGCCTCACTTGGTGTTCTCTGGTAGTTAATTGGAGAGGAGTCTCATGGGCTTTCCTGCCAGGTCTGGCTATCCACTGTGATCCTCAGATCTCAGTCCCCTGAGTAGCCAGTGATGCTAGCATGAGCCATCAGTGCCCAGATGTTGTTTAATTTCCCTGACAAATACTGGTGTTCCATGCATTTTCATGTCATTATTTCCTATCCAAATATCTCAAGTGAAGTATATGCTCAATATTTTTTACTGTTTTTGCTTTATTGGAGATCACACACACACACACACACACACACACACACACACACACACTATTTATACAGAACCCCACAAAATTTCTATGTCCCTATATGGTTTCTCTTTTTACTCCTAATATGTTGTCCTATCATTGACTGCAAATTGTCAATATATTTTACATGAATTGTGCTTTAGTGTGATGTCCAATAAATCTTTTTCCTAAGTCACAAAGTTTTTACCTATAATCTTCTGTAAGTTCTATCTTGCATTTAGCCATGAGCCATTTTGCTGCACTGTCTTTAGTGTGTGGGGTAGGATATGTATCAAAGTGGTTGTTTTTCATATTCAATGTTCGTTTACAATCGGTTGAAAAGACTTTCTCCCAATGAATTGTGTCCACAAATTTGTCCAAATTCATTTGCCCATGATGATTGAGTCTGTGTGTGTGCTCGAGTGTGTATGCTGGTACTGGGGCTTGAACTAGGGGCCTGGGTACTGTCCCTGTACCCCTTCTTTCAGGGTTAGCTCTCTCCGCCTTGAGCCACAGCTCCACATCTGGCTTTTTGTGGTTATTTGAAGAGTTGGATGGACTGCTGCAGGCTGGCTTGGAACTGCAATCCACTGGTCTCCACCTCCTGAGTAGCTGGGATGACAAGCATGAGCCATGGGCGCCCGGCTTGAGTCTATTTCTCGATTCTATTCTGACGCGTAACAGCCACGGGACTGCTGTTTTATAAAAGTAAGAAATGGCAGAACCAGAACTAAGAGGGATAAGGCATGATGGCTAGGAGGCCATCTGAGGATGAAGGACCGAATCGTGCCCCTCCCCAGTCACACTCCAATGTCATTCACTTTCCCCAGGAAAGGAATGAAGGCTGAAGTTTTCCCAGCTGCTGGACGGTCGTCACGGTTGTTTTACTAGAGTAAGAGCCAAGGGTGAGCGGACCCCCGCAGGCGGCAGCGGTGAGGGAGGGGAGGGGAGGGGAGGGGAGGGGAGGGGAGGGGAGGAGGGGAGGGGGATGAGGGGGGAGGGGAGGGGGAGAGGGGAGGGGAGGGGGGAGGGCCGGGGAGGGGAGGGGGGAGGGCCGGGGAGGGGAGGGCCGGGGAGGGGAGAGGAGAGGGCCGGGGAGGGGAGGGGAGGGGAGGAGGGGAGGGGAGGAGGGGAGGGGAGAGGGCCGGGGAGGGGAGGGGAGGGGGAGGGGAGGAGGGGAGGGGAGTAGGGGAGGGGAGGGGGAGGGGAGGGGAGGGGAGGGGGGGAGGGGAGGGCCGGGGAGGGGAGGGGAGGGGAGGGGAGGAGGGGAGGGCCGGGGAGGGGAGGGCCGGGGAGGGAAGAGGAGGGGAGGAGGGGGAGGGGAAGGGAGGGGAGGGCCGGGGAGGGGAGGGGAGGGGGGAGGGGGAGGGGAGGGCCGGGGAGGGGAGGGGAGGGGAGGGCGCCCCCACCGCACCGGCTCCCCGCCCAGCGGAGCCCTGTATCACCCCGTCGGGCGCTTCACCTGACTCGTTCGTAACCGGCCCGAGTCCTCCGCCGTCTCCGCTGCCCGCAGAGGTGTCCACCACGGCCACGGCCGAGTCGCGCGCCCGCGAGTCCACACCGAAGCAGACGTGGCCGCCATCGCTAGGAAGCCATGTCCCCGTGAGGCAGCAAACGCCCCGCAAGGCTGTGTCTGCAATGACGCGTACCGACCCGAGCGCCCCGCCGGCCGGGGACCTCAGCGGCTCCCGCCGGCTTCCGCCGGGACCCACGCGCGCCCCGTCTCCCTAGGAACCAGCAGTTCCGGCCCGGCGGCTCTCGGTGCCGGAAGTTGCCGCCCACTTCTTCCGGCTCAGGCCCCGCCCATCGGGCGGCCGCGGCGTGCCAGAGAATGCATTTTGGGCGGGCGCGGCTGCCGTCGGGGGCGGGGCGGCGCGCCCGCGGCCCGGCCGCCGGACCCACGCGCAGGTTCTCTTCCGGGATCTGTCATGGCTCCGCCCGCCGCGCTGAACCTCAACAACGAGGTGGGTACCGCGTCCTCGGGGGCGGCGGGGCCCCGCGCCGGCCCTCCGGCGGGTCTGCGGGCGGCCGCGGCCCCGTGCTCGGCCCGCCCCGGGAGGACGCCGCGGCGCCGGGTTCTCGGGGAAGGCCGTCGCGGACGGGCAGGTCGTTGGGCCGGGTCGCGGCCGCGGCGGCGGTTAACGGCCAGCTTCAGCCCCGCGGGCCGGGGAGGGCCGATCGCCCGGGAACCCCCAAGCCGTGCGCGCTTCCGGCAGCCCTGCGGCCGAGGCCGACGGAAACCTCCAGAACGACACCGTGCGGTCGGCCCCCCGCGGGCCCCGTCCCGGACCTAGCGCGGAGCGGCCTCCGCCGCGGGGCGCAGCGCCGCCCGCCGTCGCGGCCGCCCGGGTCGCGACCCTGATGGACCCGGCTGGGGGTGAGCGTGTCGGGGACCCGCGCGAAGGGGGCGTGGTGCTGCCGGCAGTTCCGGGGTCGGGCCGAACCCTTGCCCCAGGGGGAGCTGCTGTCAAGTTAGGGAACTGGAATTGAGCGACGCCCCTCCACGCGTGGCGACAGAGAAGCGTGTCCAAGAACGGCTTCTGCAGAGTCGTAAACCCCGACGCCATCGTTGGATGGGACACGGGTGCTTTTCCACGGTGCCTTCCGAGCTAGGAAGCAGTCAGGTTCCATCCATCCCTAAGAAGAGAGCCTTTTTACATCCGGTTCTTAGAATCCAGCCTGCTAAGTTTTGCTAGGTGGCAGCATAGGCTCGAAAATGGTGAAGTGACCGATCATCACCGAACATGTGTTACCCCTCAGAAAGGAACGCAGTCCCATAGTAAGTTAACGTGGGAATGGCAAGACTAGCATTCTTCATAAAATTATAATTAATGTTGTGAGCTGTAAAGTACTTCGTCTATGGAAAACTTACACAAATAGCTTTGTCATCCACTTCTTACATTTAGCAATTACCAGTCTTTTGCCATATAATATTTAATCCCGTCCTTCTACTTTTCTATCTCAGCCTTATTACTCTTTTAGTGTACATTTTTCTCATCTGTACATCCCATAATAACTTTATAACATGCCTATGGAGTACAGTATTGTATATTTTAAATTTTGTAGATAGGATATCCTATCAACATGGCATTCTTATTCTGTACATCAAACAGTATTGTTAATGTTTCATAATATATGTATGTGTTCTGCATTTATTTCAAATACTGCATTGTGTGCATCGTATGTATTAGGAAACATGTAAGAATGCTAAAATGGAAAGTTTGTGCATCAGCTTTTCTATTGCCTAAAGTGTGTCTTCCAGGTAGATCCTTAGTAATTTTGTTAGATGTTGCCAAATTTTCCTTTAGAAGAGGTCCAAAATTTACATTTCAGTGAAATTGTGGAGGGAGTGCTTGTTTCTGCACAGTCTCATGGGCAGAGTGCCTTTTCATAATTTGTTATTTGCCTCTTGGACAGGTGAGTAATGAATATCCAGAGGTTTTCATGAATATCCAGAAGTTTCCATGTATTTTTTTAAACACAGATATATTCACATTTTTCTAACAACAAGTTTTCCTGCAGGTTAGTCTAAATTCATGGCAAAGTCAGTACATCTCCAGTAAAAACTAGCTAGTCAGCTGGCTAAAAGAATGCCAGCCAGCCAAACTCTGCTGCCAGCATCCTATGATAGAAACTCATTATCAGACACTCCAAAAGCACAACTTACTCTCTCAAAAGCAGATTCACATTAGTAACAAATATATCTTCTGTGGCTATTAATGTTCCTGTGAAACATTGTTCCTATCTACTGCTCATTATCAGTTGGAGTGCAGAACTACAAAAAGGGATTGTACTTGATGATTCAGTGTTGGCTATAAGATATCTATCCTCATTGAAGTATTACAAGACACATTGGATTTCTGAGTGCCTCAACTATAAGCTCTTTTTTTTTTTAACTTGTACTGCATTCTGCCAACATTTGCTTATTGTGGTTCCCATTTTTATATTTGAGTGAACTTTCTTTAATTGGCTCACATGGTTCTTTCCTTACACACATGTTAACTTTTCACATTATTTATGATTGTATTTTTGTTTTACCCAAGAAGTGATCCAGCTTCCCCTGACTACTGATTTTACCAGATTAAGAGTATCTGTCTGCCTAAAGTCTAGGTGCACCTCACTGTCAGCTCTTGTATCATCAATTGTGAACTCAAAATCTTTTTCTTCTGAATGTCCTAAGTACATTCTTTTGCTGCTTAGAATCTGTCAACTAGATTTATCCATCTTAATCATGTTGGCAACCTACATCTACCTCTTTCCATTCTTCTTCACTTTTTCTTCTATTTTCTCTCATTTTTTACTTCTCTCTTAGTTTATTTCATTTCCATTATCTCTCCTTTCTCACTTTCCTTACTTTATTTCTCCTTTCTCTTCCAAGTAATGTCACTCTTTACAATTCTAAAAATGATAGTTTTGTTTGCTTATGGTTAGAGAAATTGCCTTTAAGTACTGCTTTTGCCTCCTAGAATTAGGGGATGGTTTAGGCCTATCTGAGGACCTGTGATTACCTGTGGGTTTTCATTCAACCCACTTTATAATTCTTTTGACAAATAAATTGAAAACCTTTAAAGGCCTAACTGAAAGACTACTATTCATCAGTTTTGGAAATTTAAAGACAAGTGTTTGGAGTGGGCAATTGTGAGGAAAATTAAATTGTAATTCCATTTGTCTTTCTCAATATTTATTGAGAAAGTTAAGCTAGAAAAGCATTTTTTGGTTTGGTATTGGAATGAAACTATGTTTATGAAACATTACCTTTGCTTTGAGTTTTCTTTCCCACTAATGATGAACAATACTTGTTAAATTGAAGTTGTAAATTTGGATACTTCTTTCCCCATGGGAGTGTAACTGAATGTCAACTCTGCCCACTGCAGTTTATTATTAGCTGTTTGGTTCAGCTAGTTAGGTATGCTACTATCGCATGCACCTGCAGAGTTCAACCATTAAAAACATTCATTAATATATTTCAATGCATAATTTAACATTTAGCAGTTTATAAGTAGCTTAACTTTACATTGTGTATCACAAAACTTTTATTACAATTCTGCTTGGGAAATGAGGCAATTCCTTTTTTTCCCACTTAAACCTTGTCTAAAATGCTTTACATTTATCCATAGTATAATTCCTTTTTACCTTAAATAGTTCTGTGTGAAACAGGAATTCCAAAGATAATGTGTCTAGGAGAAAAATATTGCACTGTGTGCTTTTTACATGCTGTGTAGTTTATAATAGTAAATGAACAAATGAGTACCACTACCTTCTGCTCATTTATTTAACAAGTACCCGTCAACCTATACTGTATGCCGTGCACTACTTTAGGTGCTAGTGTTAAGTAAATTCAGATACTTGAGTTTCAGGACCTTCTGTCTGGGGGCAGGGGGGTGTAAAAGACACACTAAACCGATTAAAAATGAAATGTTAATGGTTGTGATCATTTCTAGAGGACTAACTCCTTTTTTAAATTGTTATACTAGGGAATTGATGACTTTTAGGAATGCTAGAAAAGATTTAGAATCTTTTCTAAGAGTCTAAGAATTAGCCAACGAGGCTTATGAGGTGCCAACAAGCTAATAGGAGAAGACAGAACTCTTCTGAGGGAGGGGGGAGGTAAAGACTTGTGATAGATGTGTGTTAAGGAAAAGGAACTAAAAAGGCCCATGACCATTTTAAGAGTGAGTAGGAGCTGCAAAAGAACATTGAAGGGGCTACGTTACGCCCAGAAATTTTCTTCTGACAACATTTAAAAGTGATAGAATGAGGCAAGAATTGGTGTAAAGAAACCAGTAAACTGTTCTGGGGCTCATGCCTGTAATTCTAGTTACTCCAGAGTCTGAGATCTGAGAATCATGATTGAAAGGCAGCCCAGATAGAAAAGTCCGAGAGACTCTCCTTCTAATTACCCATCCGTAAAGCTGCACTGGAAATGTAGCTCAATAATAGAGCCCCAGCAATGTGTGAGAAAGCTGAGAGCCAAAGTAACAGTACCAAAAAAGAAAAAGAAGGCAAGGAGGGAGTGAGAGAGAGAGAACCAGTTAACAGCTGAAGTTGCTGAGAGGCAAGTGGGTAAAGATAACTATAATGGAGCCTAGGCTTTTGATTAAATGGGTTTTTATTCTCTAGAGTATGAAAAATGCCAAAAATGATTGAAGGTTTCCTTCCTTTTTTTGGAAATGATGCTGGTGTGTCTAGTATCACTGGGAAACCAATGCAGTGAAGGAAAGGGCTATCTGGGACAGTGAAAAAAGGAGAGATTGCTCAAATGGACTTGTAAGTCATCCAGAATGATCACAGGCTGGAAAGAAATTAAAAGCTGCTTGTCAGTGCCTTCATTGAAAACGGGAGATCCGTTGAGATTAATGAAGAATAAGACTTGAAGACACAGGGTGATACCAACAGTGTGTTGTTCAGAAGCATGTGAGGATTCTTTACCAGGCACTCTTGCAGGGCATGGAAAACGCTAATATTGAATAGGATGTCTATTGACCTGTAGCAGCTCAGAGTGTATAAAAGACAGTTGCATGTGCAGTCAATGGCACAGTAGCAAGATAGATGTTTTTATAACAGTCCCTGCATCTGAGGTGAGGGCCCACAAAAAAAGAGTATGGTCCCTCTGGCTGAGGGACAAATGATAAGATACATGATAGCAAAACTTAAGCTTGGGAGTAACATGCCCTTGTACTGAATGCTGGACTGCTAGAACATGTGGCTGTTTATAACTAGAGTATTTCCATGTCTTGGCCTATTCTGTTCTTCATCCTTAGGATTTTGCAGTGTTCTCTAGAGGGATGATTTAGCATGTATAGCAGTGTGTGCTCATATGTAGTGCCTCTCTGTGGGTTTTTTTTTTTAATTATGCTTGAAACAGTTCAGTACTAAAAATAAGAGGGAGGGATGCTTTATAATTGAATTAAATTAAATCTCTTCCATACT